TCTCCCTCCTTGATCCTTCATTTAAACCCTTAAAAAATTAAAAAAAAAATATATCTCAGGTAAGGCCAAATAGGCAAGGCAATATACCCTACTCGTAGCCTAGCCTTACCCGAATATGCCTAAATTATGTTAGGATGCTTTTTTTAGGGTTGAGTTAGGTGAAATTATGAAGCTCATGTAAGCACCTTGAGTAATCGGGCCAGGTGAACACCTTTAGCTGGTAGTATGAGCCAATTCACGAGCTTGGCATAACCCATATTTTGGTGAATTGTATTTATGTTGACCTGTACGACCTATAATGGGTTGATGGGCCAACTCACCAATAAAATGTATTTTTTAATTTTAAAAATTATAAAATCATCTCTTTTTATCATTTTTTTGTAGTAAAAAAATCATATTATTTTTTAAAAAATTAATTATTCAAGTGAAATATAAGTCATTCTAAATCATTAAAAAGCATAATACAAATTTAAAATATATTAATAAAATCAAAATAAATACATACTCAATCACAAATAAGCATAGTAAAATGTTGAAATTGTAATCGAAATCTTAAAGATAAAATTTGTAATAGAAAAATAAAAAATATAGTGAGTTCCATGACATTGCATGATAAAATGCCTATACTATCACAACAAAAAAGGGAAGGGAGATAAATTTTGTAATGAATTATATGATCAAAAGGGAGAAAGACAATGATGACTCCAAAAGATATTAGATTTGGAGCATAAAACCAAAGATAACAAAGTAAGCTCTCTGTAAACTTGTTTCAGATGTTTTACTACCATACATGTATATCCTTTTTTGGAATCCTTCTCAGGCTCAAGGCATATGGAAATGTAAATTGTTTTCAAGTTAAATTAAAATACTGAAGGGGGTAAAAAAAAAAAAAGCTAACCTACCAACCTATAGGTTAACCATTGTGGGTTCAAATTATGTGATATGGGTCAAGATTGCCTCACATTTAAATGAACCCATCTCCTCCAAACCCACCCACCTACCCTTGTTATTTTTTTTTGTAGGTCCATAGTAGTTATTTTGGCCTTATTAACATCAAGGCCTTGCTAGTATATTGTGGACTTAGGCTTTTCCTTGTTTATTTTCTCTCTGCCTATCATCTGAACTCTTAATATTTAGGATTTAATATTGACAAAATACAAGTATCAATTCTTATAGTTTTATCAAGTTTTACTTTTAAGTCTTATAATTTTTTTAATATTTTCAATCCTTATAATTTTAGTATGATTAGCTAATGTTTGTTGCTCAAATCTCTAGAGTTTTAGTGTTTTCAGTCCTTACTAAAAAAAAATTACAGAGACTAAAAGTAAAAGCTAATAAAATTCTAGGGACCAATGATTGTGTTTTTTCTTCTATATTTTTAAAATTTAATTTTGATTACAATCTTAAGTCTTAAATTGTAGTTTAGATCAAATTTGTTATATCTTAAATTATTTATTTATTTTTCATAACTTCATATTTCAAAATTTATTTAGTATTATTTACAAGTTACTTCTAATGTGTTTCATCGAAAAAAAACTCATTAAATCTATTTAAAAGTTTAATAATTTTTCAAATTTATCTGATTAAATATTCATACTTTAACAACATATTTTTTGCTCTTCAACATTCAATAAAGGGTAAATGAAAAATTTGTAAAGAAAATTTAATGAGGTAACTTATAAATGAGGCAAAAAAATTCTTTTTATAGCCTATAAATAGGATCAAGGGGTGATAATTTTATAAAATACATTTCCATTTATAATTATAAGACAATTTGAGACAAGATTGCACATACCTATAAAGTCCAATAATGACACTTTACAAAATCACTTTTTTTTAAATAAAAATATAAACTACCAAAAATACCCTTCATTTTATATAACTTCAAATTTGCACCCTTAATTATTATACTATAATTATTTTAATTCTCTCTCCACTTAAATATTACTTCATTCGTCTCAATTTATAGGACACTTTTAGATAAAATCTCACATGCTAATAACCCTCATTAAATACACTCAACAACTTTATTTTTTTAAAATAAAAATATAAAATTTAAAAAATACCTTTCATTTAATAACCTTAAATTCACACCTAATTAGTATTAGATAGATAGAAAGAAAGAATAATATTAAAATAAGCTTATTTAATAAAGCCTTGGTCTTCTCAAAGTGCCTTATATTTGAAATGATAAATCTCTCTTAAAAGTGTTTTATAATTTGAGATAGAGGTAATAATATTGAAAAAGTATTATTAATTAAATTTATTTTTATCAAATTATCTTATATTTTAAAAAATGAAGTACTTCCAAAGTTGTCATATATTTGGGATGGAAGAGTGTTAAAGACTAGCCATTGAAAAAATTGATCTAAGGATTTAGATAATAAATTGTAAGGGAGAAAAACTGAGAAGGCGAAGATAAAATAAATAGAAAAAAGTTGAGTTTGTTGTCATTAGAAAGGGAAAAGCAATGAAGATGATGGAGGGGAAAGGAGTTTTTTATTTTTTTTATCATCATATCTCCCACTTTTTTATCATGATTATTGATATTATTGCATTTAAATAAATTTAATTCGGCCATGTATTTGATATATAGTTCTAATAAAAAAGTAAAGGAAAATGATAATAAACAAAATGGAGAGACCCATCTACGGGAAAAAATGATGAAGAGAGAAACCTCTAGGGGCAAGAGGTATTAATTAATGAAAAAATTGCATATAATTCTCACAGAAAAAATTTAATTATAAATAAATTTCATAAAATTTAAAAAATACAATAAAATTTTTTAGAATTTAATTATAATTTAAAAGTAGAGTGTAAAAATAATACTGTCTTACTTATAAGATTTAACTATTATATATATATATATATATATTACGAAGTTATAATTATAAAATATTAAAGTGATATGTAAATTATTGGTGAAACAATTGTAAGCAGATAGAATTAAACTTTATTAAAATGTATGATAGATTTAATTATGAAATATGTAAAATTATAATTGTAAAATATTGAAGTAGTAATTGTAAATTAATGATTAAGTGGATGCATATAATTAGTATTACAAGTATAATCAATTTAATGATTGAAAATGTTAAGTTACAATTTTAAAAATTAAAGTGATAATTATTAATTATTAATGAATTAATTATAACATATTTAATTAATATAATATAATTTTAATGAGAATATTATTTTTTTTATATTTTAATTTTAAATTACATTCATGTTCGTGGGACCCGGCAGTATTATCTGAATTTTATTGAATTTATTTATATAAATAACATAGATGATGATAATAATAATAATAATAATAATAATCGGTGGCCAGTGAGCACGCAAAATGAGCATGCGGCGACAAACTGACTTTCGAACGACGACTTGTTGATATTTGAAAATTCGCGATGAACAAATAATGGTAACGACCTTTCTCTCTCTCATTGTCAGAGTCAGACTGATGAATATCGTATTCCCCTCCTTGATGGGCGCGTGAACTCATTTTGGGCTCTCTGAAAGCAACGGATTAGTCCATTTGGTAACCATGTCTGTGGGCCCCTCCCCGCATGGGACTCCCTTCTCATCCATCCAGCAGTACTTTCGCCTCCTCCTCAAAATTCTTTTTTATTTTATTTATTTATATTAAAATTAAAATATATATAAATACACACACTACTTCCTGAATTAAAAAATGACATTTTTAAGGAATTAAATATTTAAAAATATAAAATTTTTTAATCTTTTGATATGCAATCATTATTTTTTTTAAAATATCTCTATTGATAATGATTTTATATTTATTGTAGGGTATTTAATAAAGGTAAATATGAAAAGATAGGATTATTTAAAAGTAGATAACTACTTTATTAGAGAGTAAAATTTATTAAAAATATCTTATATTTTTGAATGGATGGACTATTATTTTGTAAATTATATTCTCTCCTATTTTATTTATGGGATACTTTATACTATTAAAATATTTTTTAATTTTACTTTTTATTAATTAAAATGAATGTATTTAATATAATTATGTCATTATTTAAAGTGAAAAATAAAAAATATCTTATTTTTTATAATATAAAAAATTACTCCCTCCATTAAAAAATGTAAAGTATTTTTTGAAGAATTGAATGTTAAAAAATGTAAAGCATTTTTAATTTTTTAATGTATAATTATTAATTTTTTTTAAAAGTGCTCTTATTGAGAAAATCAGTTTATATTTATTTTAGAATGAAATACCTTATTAAATAAAAATAAATATAAAAATATATGATTAATTTAATATGAGTAAATATTTTATTAAAGACACAATTCAATTAAAAATACTTTATATTTTTAAATTAATTAAGTAATTTTTTTAAAACAAATGAAATAATTAAAAATATTTTACAATAAAGATTGAAGACAGTATGTCATCAATCTTTATTTTTAAATTTTGAAACCATTAAAAATTTTGTGTAATTTTTATATTATTTACTTGAAAAAAAAGAGGATTTACATTTATCTCCTTTTATTTTTCATTTGTAAAGCTTAAATTTGTTACGATTAAAGTGAGGTGTTATTTTGACTAAAAAAATTGATTGCCCGGTGCTCAGAACAATCTCAGGGCACCTTGTCCTGACAAAGACAGGGGGTCACAGAGGACAGGAGCGAAGAAACCCATAAAAAGATGTAGGCCCAGCGAGGAAATTCTGGCCGCGCGTATGCTCACCGCTCACACCCTTCGAAGGACCAGACCGCGATATTATCGCGAGAATATAGGCGACGAGTTTATGAAATGTTGATTCGAAAGGGAAAGCGATGGTACAAAAAGGAAGGTCCCCTGGACGCGTGTAGCGAATATTCACTAGATTTGAATTTGTGGTTTTGATTCCGCAGCTCACCTTCCATTTCTCTTATCGCTCACGCAATGATAGCTTACTATGATAAGTACTTGGGGCTATGAAATAAGTACTATGGCTTATGTCTGATAGGTCAGTAGAAAAAGGAAGACCACTGTACAACGCATCGAAGATTGCGAGGCCGAGTTTCTCTCTTCTTCTTATCCACAGCCTTTCAAACCCTAGAAATTCGCAAATTTCGAGCTTGTCTAATTCTGAAGAAGCTAAATTCTCGAGGATCTTCAGGTTGAGGACTGCGTGTGACTTTTAGATTCAGAGTTGAGTCGTGTGGAGTCTGGATATACAAGCTCTGTCTTGTCTCTGCTTAATGGAATTGAAAGCCTGTGCTCTTCTGGCTCCACTGCTCGTGTACTTGTGATTGAATATATAAATTATTTTGCGTTTTTAGAATTCAGTGGTCCGTATGTCTTCTTTGAGCAGAGAATTGGTGTTTCTCATTCTCCAATTTCTGGAGGAGGAGAAGTTTAAAGAGTCTGTGCACAAGTAAGCCCCTTTCTATTGTTTCCCTTCGCCTCTTTCTGAGCAATTTGTGTGAAAAATTGGAGACGATTTAGACAACTATAAAAATATTAAAGATTCTCTCTTTTTGAGCCGAACCTTATGCGTTTTGTGCTGTGGTATTTTGTTTATAAATTTTTCCTTGGTATCAAAAGGATTGGTCATTTTTCTCTTTTCAATTTTTTCCCTTTTAATTGTTGCAGGCTTGAGAAGGAGTCTGGGTTTTTCTTCAACATGAAGTACTTCGAGGAAAAAGTCCAGGCTGGAGAATGGGAAGAAGTTGAGAAGTACTTAACAGGCTTTACTAAAGTTGATGATAATCGATACTCCATGAAGATTTTCTTTGAAATCAGAAAACAAAAATATCTGGAAGCACTTGATAGGTATAAATTATTGTGTGGTTGTTGAGTTTTGGTAAGTTTATCTATCCATATTGTAAAATTTAACATGTTCTTTTGTCGACTGGGTGTTTAAAATTTCAGGCAAGACAAGGCAAAGGCTGTTGAGATACTAGTAAATGATTTAAAAGTGTTCTCCACTTTCAATGAGGACCTATATAAAGAAATTACCCAGCTGTTAACACTTAATAATTTCAGGTAGAATCTTGAATTATGTACTCTGTTATCGTGATATGCTTGTTTATGTTGTCTATTGCCACTTTCATTATACATTTCATCGATGAGATTATACCAAAAAGACAATATGATTATTATGGTGATATTCTTAGTCTTGTCAAGAGCTCTACCCTGTATTATAGTAACTTGCTTACTGAGCTTAAGTAATGTAATAGGCAAATTCAAGTTTAATTTCTTTGAGTTTCATAAAGCTCTAGGGACCATATCAGAAGTTAGTCATTCAACTTCTTAATTCTCTCTAGATTAATTACTCAAAAGCATCATTGACTGTTGCAAATTTGCAAAATGCAAGGCCCAGTGCACGGACCATAATTGCTATCTTATTTCAGAAGTTGCAAAATTCAACGGTCATGCTTATAACAACTGGAAATTCAGAAGTTGCAAGGATTTGGCTGTGTTGTCTAGTATGTGATCCAATACGAATTGCTATTAAACAGGGCGCCCTGCTTCTGGGTTTTGTTTTGAATTGTGTGGCATTTTATAAAGTTGTGAAATTGCTCTCTTGAGCATGGCCATTCTTCCGGAGCATTTATAATCATTTCAAGTAGAACCTTGAATCTCAGTCATTGTCATCCTTCTTTCTTTTGAGAAAAGGTAAAAATGTAACATTAAGATTTAATAATGAATGGGAATGTGGCTTTTCTTCTGTAGCATTGGCAATCATTCAATTTAAAACCTTTGTTCCTAATCATACTCATCCTTCTTTCTTTTATGAGAAATAGAGAATTGTAATATGGAGATTTAAGAGTCATGGGGTGAACTGTTGTTTTTAGATAGATCTACTCAATTATTTAAGCACACAACCTCTTCTTACTTTTCCTGCTGTTTTAAAATACCAGGGAGAATGATCAGCTGGCCAAGTATGGTGACACTAAAACAGCTCGAAGCATTATGTTGATAGAGCTGAAAAAATTGATAGAAGCAAATCCTCTATTTCGTGATAAGCTTCTCTTCCCTACTCTTAAATCATCGAGATTGAGGACGTTAATCAATCAAAGGTAGTGATGCTTTGGTTGTTGGATTAACAAGAAAATCAGAGCTTTTGATTATTACTCCTTCTGCATCACAACTAGAATAAGTTTTTTTTTTTTTGACATATACAGCTATGGTATTTTAGCATTTTGCTTAAGGTTTACTCCCATTAAAATGATTCAACTGTTGCCTATATTTTTTCAGTTCTTGTATTCTTGTATATTGTTTTGGTAGTTTAGTTTGTTATGGCATTCAATTTCTTTTCTCAATCTCTCTTTTCCCCTTATCAATGAATGCAGTTTGAACTGGCAGCATCAGCTTTGCAAAAATCCAAGACCAAACCCAGATATTAAGACTTTATTTACAGATCACACATGTTCACCTCCTAATGGTCCTCTAACACCTACACCTGTCAATCTTCCAGTTGCTGCAGTTGCAAAGCCTGCTGTTTATACATCACTTGCTGCTCATGGTGTATGATCTTATGAAACTTGAACATTATTTTACATATCCATGTGAGTAATAGTAATCAGCATAATGCCTGGTTAATATTTGGTCCTTATTTATTTGCTGCAGTCCTTCCCACCTGCTGCAGCTTCTGCTAATTCTATAGCTGGTTGGATGGCCAATGCTTCTGCTTCATCATCTGTCCAAGCAGCAGTTGTCACTGCATCATCCATGCCTGTTCCTCAGAATCAAGGTTAAAGATAACATATCAATGGAATTATATTGATGTTAGTAGAAGTATTATAATTGGGGATAGTGACAATTTGACCGCCAATGACATTGGGCTGATAAAAACCCTGTGCTCCTTTATTTATTATTTTTGTGACACGTTTCTCTTTTTGGTTTGGCGAAAATAGGTAAATATCAGTTTCGGTTCAGCCCTAACATCGGTACTTGTTAAGAAACTACTCTCCAACTTGGCAGCATGTATAGAAATTCTGTGGGCAAACCATAGAAGAAGACATGTTAGATTCAGTCAATTCTGTTTTGCTCTTGCATTTCCCCTGCAACTGATTGCTTTGTCAAGTGGGCCTTGGGTGAAATCTACTTGGCCGAGGCCTTCTGTGGTGCACCTTCAGGATTGGGCATTTAGGCCAGAATAAGCTTTATGGCAACCACATTGAACTCTAAATGTTTCTATAAACAGCAATGCCACCTAAGAAAATTTTCCTAAATTCCAATTCAGATTTCAGGATTCCAAGACGTTTTGGAAAATGGTTGATGGAATCGGACAGGATGTTGAATTGATGAAGCTATCACCTCACTAGTTTAGTGGTCAGGTCCTTAATTAAATTGGTCTTGCTTTTCAACATCAACGTAATATAATTTAGTAAAGAATATGCTTTTGATATTTTTTGTTTCCAAAACAATATGAGTAGGAAAAGAAATTTATCATTCTTCGTTTTTTTCTTTTTTTAGTGAAGGTGGGCAAAGGTATGGGCGTATGAGTAGAAGGGTCCCAATGTAATTAGTGAAAGAGTTGAAAAATTAAGTTTTTGTATTTGAAAAGGATTGTCTGGTCTAATAATGGCATAATACCGGCCAATAATTGGTTCAACTGGTTCATTGACTAGACGAGACTATCCAATCTAGTTCTAGTAACACTCATGAAGGATCAAAGGTTACCCTTTCCATCATAAAACAGGAGCTAAGGGTTTTACAGTTACTCTTTTCTTTTTAAAAATTATCTTGATTTTGTAACTGATATGCAAACAAAGAATGTTCATAACTTCCAATATCACAATCTGGCATTATGCATACAGGTCATTACTATTGATTGATCTTTATTAGGTATTGTAAGCAGCTATATCCACTTCTATCATCAAATGTGTCATGTTTTCTATAAGAAATTGTAGAAGAGGCAAAAGCAAGTGTCTATGGTTGAGATTTAAGGCTTTTCATGCACAGATATTTTGGAAAGACTATTTTAGAGGAAATCTAGGATAAATGCAAGCATATTTACACGATTAGGATTGTCTCTTACCATAATATCTAGTTTCCTCCCCTGCTTTCATTTTGGCCTTCTAAATTCATCTTGCAGTCCAGATTATAAAAGTCATTCTTCTAAATCAAAACACACCATTTCATTTAAAATGGTACAGTTCATTACGAAATGGTTAGTTTCAGTTATGCAATTCCAAATTCCTAGACTACCATAAGATGAGCTTGACATTTGAGATAAAATTGGAGAGAAAACTTGATATTACCATATGGAGAAGATCCAATTTAATTTTTACATGCTAAATCATACTTTTGCATGCATTCAAGTCCCCCCTGCCTCCCCTCCCTAAGAAAGAAAAAGATTTACTTATGTTGTGTTGTGGCTGTTGCAGTTGGCAAGGACAATACGTCCTAGCATTTTAAAATTAATTTTCTTATATAATAATTTCACATTACAATAGGTTATCTTGACATAAACACTTCCCCACTCTTTTTTGAAACAGTGCCCATCTTGAAACGTCCAAGAACACCTCCGGCAGCCCCTGGCATGGTTGATTATCAGAATTCTGATAATGAGCAGTTAATGAAAAGGCTTCGGCCAGTTCATTCTGTGGAGGAGGTAATTTTAATGACTTTCTGTTTGAATTTGTTGTGCATAGGAGAATGTCACATTGCAAAATGTTTTCCTGCTACTAAGCTGCACGTGGCTTCCTGACTTTGTAATTCTTGATAATTCGTGTTTCGATGATTCACTTCTATATATGTTCAGGTTTGCTATCCTACAGCTCGACAAGCTTCTTGGTCACTGGATGATCTGCCAAGAACAGTGGCTATGACACTGCATCAAGGATCCTCTGTTAACAGCATGGACTTTCATCCTTCACACCAGACGTTACTTCTTGGTATTCTCTATGATGTTTTACTTATGAATAATGTTTCATTACTTTCATATTTACAAAATTTTGACATAGTTTCTTCTATTTATAAATATTATTCATTATGCAGTTGGATCTACTAATGGTGAAATTGCCCTATGGGAACTTGGGTTGCGGGAGAGGTTGGTTTCAAAGCCATTCAAGATATGGGATCTATCAGCATGCACATTGGCATTTCAGGTTTGTTTCATTTCTCAAATGATGTAATATTTTCCCCATTCCATGTGCTGGTCCTTGCTTATACAGACTTCTAGCTCGACAGTCTAAATAAATGTATACATTAGGAACTTAAGCTAACATGGTCAATATTTTAAATTATGCTAGTTGTTTTAGTGCTTAAAGATTTAGAAGCATAGTTTTTTTGCAGGCAGCTGTTGTCAAAGATGCACCAATTTCTGTCAGCCGTGTTATGTGGAGCCCAGATGGAAATTTTGTTGGTACGTGACTTGACCCTTCTAAAGCCATTTTTGAGCCAAATTGAACGTCAAGTTGATTGATTTCTTACTGTAGGTGTTGCATTTAGCAAACATTTGGTTCACTTGTATGCCTATACTGGATCAAATGAGCTGAGCCAACGATTGGAGGTGAAGTTTTCAAAATCCAAAACTATCAAAATTTCTTAGTGCAGCTTAATTTACACTTAATTTGTTATGCAGATTGATGCCCATACTGGTGGCGTGAATGATTTGGCATTTGCTCATCCAAATAAACAACTATGTATTCTGACCTGTGGTGATGATAAGATGATAAAGGTGCTAACAAAATACTCATTGCCGTTTTTAGTGCTGCAAATATCTATCTACTTTCTCTAATGAAGAAACTTTTGATAGGCGTGGGAGTTAAATGGACGAAAACTATTCACCTTTGAAGGGCATGAAGCACCTGTCTATTCCATCTGTCCTCATCACAAAGAAAACATTCAGGTACAAAGAATAAGTCATTTGTATAGCTGTGAAACCTGTTATTTTCGGGTAGTTCTTTCTCCAGAAGCCAGTTTACTCCTCAAGTCAAGTAATGGCACATTTTATCTCTTAACTTGCTTAGTTGAATAACTTATATCAGGCATCAACTTGCATGTCTGTCTGTGTCATGTCGGGTTTGAGGCTCTGATCTTTATGGCCTTAACTATAACTCAGTTTCAAGGGCAACATCTGTTCCAGGATACTTCTATTCAATGAATGGGAATTTCTTGTACAATGTCATAAGGATCAAACTTATTTGATGCTTTCCTTCTTAACTACTATCATTTCATAGGCAGCAATCTACACAATGCCACCAGATCATTGTTGTTAGATCGCCCAAGATGTGTGCAAATTGTGGTTGAACATCTGTCTTGTATTCTTTGCTAGTCCCTAATTTGAACGCCAACCAGTTAATAATTAAATTTTTAATCCCCATGTTAATAGCCTGCATTGGAATATTTACTCTGCATTCTAATGGGTGGAAGAATACGACCTTGGTATTGCTACTGCAGAATTTCACTTCAAGTACTGCTTGTCTATGACCTTAGCCGAGCTTCATTGTCTTCATTTCAATTCCCTTCTGTATTTTTCTTGGAGAATAATATCCCAAGAGCGATTCTTGTTTTTTACATGTGCTATGTGTGGAATCAGCACTGCCAGCCTTTGTACTATTCAAGTTAACTGTGGTTTCCATGGCATTAAAGTTAACTGTTGAAACTTTGCAGTTTATATTTTCAACTGCTGTTGATGGAAAAATAAAGGCCTGGTTGTATGATAACATGGGTTCCAGAGTTGATTATGATGCTCCAGGTCACTGCTGTACCACAATGCTTTACAGTGCTGATGGAAGTAGGTAAGTTGGAAATGAATAGGGAAAGACGTTTCCATAAGTTTTGCATTCCCTGGTTACTGGTATTTTTTCCCATGAAAATGCATTAATTAACATGTCTTTCAATTTTCCCACATTTCCCCAGATTGTTTTCTTGTGGAACAAGTAAAAATGGAGAATCTTTCCTAGTTGAATGGAATGAAAGTGAAGGAGCCATTAAGAGGACATATCATGGGTTCAGAAAGAAATCAAATGGTGTTGTGCAGTTTGACACAACGCAAAATCGCTTTTTGGCTGCAGGTGAAGATGGCCAAATAAAGTTCTGGGATATGGACAATGTTAATCTTCTGACAAGCACTGATGCAGAGGGTGGACTACAGGTCAATATCTAGCTTTTAACTGTAGTAATCTTTCCCAAATAGAACTGCACTTTCTGAAGACACCCCTTCTTTCACTGTGCCAATGTATTCAGAGCCTTCCACGTTTGAGATTTAATAAGGAAGGAAATCTTCTTGCTGTTACTACTGCGGACAATGGATTCAAGGTACTTGCAAATGCTGTTGGTCTGAGATCCTTAAGGGCAATGGAAACTCCAGCGTTTGAAGCATTGAGGTCTCCCATAGAATCAGCTGCAAATAAGGTGTGCTATTGCTCCCCCCTTTCATTCCGAAAATTTATATTTAGGCTATTTATTTATATATATTGCCCATTTTGTTTCCGTTATCTAGGTTTCTGGCTCCCCTGCTGTAAATGTCAGTCCTGTCAACTGTAAAGTGGAGAGGAGCTCGCCTGTCAGGCCATCTCCAATCCTTGTATGAAATTTGCCTGCCTAAATTTGCATGAATTGATTATGATGTTGGCACAGTGATTATGATGATGTCGTAGTCTAACAACAAGAGTCACCAAATATATAAATACTTGGATTTGATATTTCTTTTTTCTAGATTTACAGTACAGGGATGTGGAACTGGCATGATTGTTTTCCTCTTGTGTTACAAAAAGATTAATAAAATCTGCGTTGCCCTAGGAAGCAATAACATCTTATGGATTCCTTACTTCAGTAATATTTTTATGATTGAGGTGCTACATCTTAATACTTGTTAGTAAAGTCTTTGCTTACTTTGACTCTATCAATTTAGAATGGAGTTGACCCTATGGGTCTAAGTTTGGAGAAACCTAGAACCATGGAAGATGTGATAGATAGAACTAAACCTTGGCAGCTGTCTGAAATTTTGGATTCTATCCAATGCCGGCTAATTACAATGCCTGAGAGTGCAGATGCTTCCAGCAAGGTTTGTTCAACTTATTAGATCACCCTTTTTAAACAAATTTTATGTCCTGCCCTTGGCTTATGTGTCCATGTATAGGTTGTTCGGCTTTTATATACAAATTCTGGTGCTGGAGTTTTGGCACTTGGGTCAAATGGTATTCAGAAACTGTGGAAGTGGACTCGTAATGAACAGAATCCTTCTGGGAAGGTACCATCTATCAAATAATCGGCTCACTTAGTTTCCTTGTCACTCTTCTTTATGTGTATTATTTCTTCCTCCATCTCAGTGGTGAACAGATTTATGATGTTTATATGATTTCAGGCCACTGCCAGCGTTGTTCCACAACACTGGCAACCCAACAGTGGTCTTCTTATGACCAACGATATTTCTGGTGTCAACCTTGAAGATGCAGTTCCCTGCATTGCACTCTCAAAGAATGACTCATATGTTATGTCTGCTTGCGGTGGAAAGGTTTCATTATTTAACATGATGACATTCAAGGTCTGTATCTAGATGTACATTCCTGATCTTCATTTCAAATTTTACTGGTGCTAATTTGTAGCCACCGTTTGTTTCACTCAGGTAATGACAACGTTCATGCCACCACCTCCGGCCTCTACTTTTCTGTCTTTCCACCCCCAGGATAACAACATCATAGCCATTGGGATGGAGGATTCAACGATTCACATTTATAATGTTAGAGTGGATGAGGTGATTACTATCTTTTGTTGCCCACTCTCTCCAACCTGAGATGTACTATTTATTTACTATAACCATGGAAATTTTCTTTTTCTTTTGGATGTATTGCTAGGTCAAATCGAAATTGAAGGGTCACCAGAAGCGTATTACTGGTTTAGCCTTTTCAACCAATCTTAACATACTGGTCTCATCTGGTGCTGATGCCCAAGTATGTCCATTAGCAGTTTTCTTGACATTTAAGATTCTAAGGACATTGAATTCGGAATGGCCCGATTGTAATTAATTCAGTGCCTAGTAATTAATTTTGGAAATTTCTCTTATTTGTTCATTGCTGCTCTTATCCAGTGCATTATCTATCTGATTACATAAATTCATTGTACTATAATTTAAGGCATCTTCGCATGGCAATGCTTTTTACCTTTCATTTTGTTAAAAATTTCTTATGATTTTGTTCAGCTTTGTGTGTGGAGCATTGATACTTGGGAGAAAAGAAAATCAATGACAATACAACTACCTGCGGGAAAGTCTCCTGTTGGTGATACCAGAGTCCAGTTCCATTCTGATCAACTTCGCTTATTGGTAGTTCATGAGAATCATTTGGCAATATATGATGCTTCCAAGATGGATCGCATTCGACAGGTAGGAGGTTACTTCTAGCGCCAATAGATTGGCTCTTGACTGACCTTCCAAATTGTGATATGCTTAACTGGTTTTTGGCTGCAGTGGCTCCCACAAGATATTCTGCCTGCTCCTATATCATATGCAACTTATTCAAGCAACAGTGCGTTAATATATGCTACTTTTTTGGATGGTAACATTGGGGTCTTTGATGCTGATAGCTTGAGGCTGAGATGTCGTATTGCTCCATCAGCGTACTTATCACCGGCAGCTTTAAGTGGGTAAGTGTCCGAAATTGTGGATCAAGTCCACTTTATAATGTATCAAGCATTTTTCAGTCAAATTCAGTTACTGTTGCTTTCTGTTGAGCAAAGAAGAAGTTAATCTGCTTGTTAACTTTTCTGGCTCATAATTTGATCCGGCTCTACCCACACTTTATCCCACTCTTATCACCTGAGATAGTTTCGCAGTGATGCGATTCGTATCAAGTCCCCAACTTTTTACCCGGTGTTAAATTTTTGCAGAAGCCAAGCTGTGTCCCCGCTCGTGGTTGCAGCTCATCCGCAAGAGCCCAACCAATTCGCTGTGGGGTTCACTGATGGATCCGTTAAAGTAATAGAGCCCTCTGAATCAGAGGGAAAATGGGGATCTACTCCGCCTGTAGATAATGGAGTGCTAAACGTTAGGCAAGGACAATCGTCTACTTCAAATATCCACCACACTCCTGATCAGGCACAGAGATAAGATTCATTGTATAAGTGTAGCATGTTATTAGATTTTGATTTCCCCATTTGTCTCTTGTCAAGATCAGCTTGGCCATAAAAGGGTAAATGTTCAGGTTATGTACTAAACTAGTGTATTGTAGTCAACTTGTAATTGGCGTTGGTTATTTGTAATGTGAATATGTTAATTCTCTTCCCATATGATATGTTATAATGAAATCTATTGGTTACTGAAGTAGGTGAGACAGCCGTTCTACCCTGCTGCTTTGTAATGTCGGAAAGAATCATTCCCCTACTTTAAAGAGATTTTTAAATTTTAACGAGTTATAATTATAAAGAAAGTTAAAAAAAAAAAATCATGGAATTTGTCCAACGAACAAAAATCTAAAATTAAGGATGGTCTTTTGCCCTCTTTCCCCCTTTTAGAAGATTATTTGGAAATGATCTAAAATTTAAAAAAAAAAATCCCCGTTTTTTTTTACTGTTGAATTATGTTCTGACTACTAATAGTTAAGTAGATTAAAAATTCAATAGGCAGGCGAAAAAATCGATCAAGCATAAATTTGAGTGAGAAAGGTCAAAGTTCAAAGAGCAAGGAGAGAATCATTGGTGGAGTTTGAGGTGAAATGGATAAAAAGAAAATAAAAAATTATTTGATTAAATGACATTAATGCATTAGCCGGCCATGAACGATAACAGCTAGAAAAGAATCAAATAAAAAATAAAGGTATAATATAACCGGGTATTAAATATTAATTGCCTTTCGGCCTATTTCATCCGCGGATGAAAGCCTTCTCTGCTTCTCTATTGAGTTATAGGTAAATCTAAATTTATATGGTTATACAGTCTGAATTTAATATTTTTAATCTATATTTTTAAAATAAAAAATATATAAAATTTGTAAATTTTTTTAACAAATATGCTTATCAATCTGACAGTTAAGATTTAGTATGGATTATTCAAATTTAATATTAAAAATTTAAATTGACTTTTTTTAGATATATTCTGGATAATATAGATATATTTTGAATAGAACAGTAAATTCATTAAAAAAATTAATATTAAATTTAAACCATTCATATTAAATTTGGACTGTCAAATTAATAAGTATATTTATTAAAATTTTTTTACAATTTTATATATTTTCATCTTAAAAATAAAACATAAAAATACTAAATCTAAATGACCTAGATTTGTCTCTACCTTAGTGGAAGGAAGCTAACTCTAAAAAAATATTAATTGCCTAAAGCCCTTAAATCATGCAGCTCTTGCCCCTTAGGCATCATTTTAAAATTTGATTTATAAAAATGTATACAAAAAAATATTACTTAAAAGATGACAATTTTTAAATAGCCTTCATATTTATCAAAGGATTAATTTTAATGTTATTGGTTGTGGGTATACCTTGAGCAAAAATAAAAAAAAAATCAGCAAACGTACCATGTTAAAACCTAAAAGAAGACGTTGCTGACTTTGGCCCTAAAAAGAAAAAATAAACTCTGCCAACAAGGCTTATCCAATTGAAAATTTTCTATAATTCTTTATTAACTTTTATTAGTCTCAACAAAAATTTACCCAATCTGAAGATTGATTATTCAACAAAAACTGAGCTGAATTGCTTCGAATCAAGTTTTTTAAAATTCCGTGACTTCTTGTTCATAATCATCTTTTAATTACTCTTTTCATTTAAAAATATAAAACATTTTTAATTGAATTTTACCTCAATAAAATAGTTATTTATTTTTAAATTAACTTTATCTTTTCATATTTATTTCTATTAAATATCGTAAACTAAATAAATTGATTCATTTAATAGGGACACTTTTGAAAAAATAAAAGGCAACGATTATATCTAATTCTTTAAAAAATATTTTATATTTTTAAATGGATGGAGTATTTTTCTTTGAACAAACATAATCATTTATCAATTATTAGTGTCCATCCACAAATCGCATTTTGGCTATACTTATGAATTACTTTCTGTTTAAAAATGTAAGACATTTTTTGAGGAGTTAGATGTTCAAAAATGTAAGACATTTTCAATCTTTTAAGGTGTAATCATTATCTTTTTTAAAAGTATTCCTATTGATAATAATTTTATATTTATTGTAGGGTGTTTAATAGGAGTAAATATGGAGAGATAGGATTAGTTGAAAAGTAGGTAGCTACTTTATTGAGGGGTGAAATTCGGTTAAAAATACCTTATATTTTTAAATGGAAGGAAAATGAGTTATTGGAACCTTAGAATTTGTTTTTGATTTTTTTTTTTTAACGAATCACCTAAAACAAAATGTATATCAGGGACAAGGCGTCCTTCAACAGTTTAACTGCAAGTGTTCGTTTTCCGTCATATTTAAACTATGCTCGTCGCTATATATAGTGGAGATGACAGAATCCAACCCATCCCACTACAGTTAAATCGAAGTTATTTTTTGTTAAGTAAAGATAATTAAAAAAAAAAGGAGATAAAGTTTCCAGCTGTGATATATATATATATATATATATATAGTAGCCTTGTGTTCCAATTACGACGCATGAATAGATATAGAGCAGAAACTTGTCGATGAAGTAATTAATTGTAATAACCAATCACGATTGTACGTATATTATATACGCATGAAGGTTTGCAGAGAACTCGCCCAATGCATTGGATTCTTCTAACTAATCATAAACACTACAGCTTGATTTTGACTATGAAGTGCAATTAATAGACCCATAGTAGTTCACAGTTCCAAATGAATGGCGAAAATAAGCGCAGTTCATAGAATATATATATATATATATATATATATGCAATGGATCCCACACCTCCAGAGAGCTCGTTTATCAAGTGTGCAGATTTTAATTTCTTGCCAGCTGAGAGGATCATGACAGAGCTTGGAGATAACCTTGGTGCATTCTGTACCGAGTGGCTGTGCGGACTTCGTTCTAGACGACCAGGGTCTTATAATTCCCCAGTTATTAGCCTTGATGGCTAGTCCGTTTGCTTTTTTCTGTTCTCAATTACTTTTTGCTTCAAGCTTTGGCTTGCCACTGTATCTTAAAAAAGAGATAGAGAGATTAATCTGCAATGGATCGATCGATGGATGGTTTAATAATGTGTGTATTGAAATAGTTCTCAAGGACAACACGAATGACCAAGCTTAATAATCTGTGGATGGTTCAATAATGCCGTTCGCACGGCTCAAGCTTAATTTCCCGAGCTGCCGCCAACGCGAATGACCATTATGACAAACTGACAGTACAGAGACTCACAGATCGACGAGGGAATTAAAGTAAGAATATGCAATCATTATATATATATATATATATATATATGTTGGGATATTGGGAGTCAGTCAGTCTCCTCTTATTTATATCAACAAATAAAAACTGGAATTAAAAATTAAACTACGGCTCAACATGGCACTCGGGGATAGGATTTTAGAACAATAATCAGACCAAATACTTGCTTCACACGTCATGATAGAGTTTCTTCTGAAGAGGGTCAAGAGCCCAGTACTTGAGTGCGTTCCATCAATGCTTTGAAGAATCGTTGCACTGTGGATCGTTGGGGCTTTGTGTTGGGCATGCAGTGATGCCGAATCCTCTGTAGGAAGCCAACAAGGGTCCGTCGTTCCAATTCACCGGAGCCCCGATTGACGCCCACGACCCGTTCCATATTGTCCCAATAATGCTCAGTGCTCGCATTGGGAAACTTCCTCCGTTATTCCTGAACGCTCTCACGGGCATGCCGTCCACGAACCACCTGCAATACATGCATAAACACGTTTATTCATTAGATCGAACCGAAGGATCGAACCAATGACGGAAACGTTGCTCCCTTCCGCCTTCACCGTTTGTGACAAGGTTTGTGTGAAGCACGTGAGGTCGTTCTTTCCCATTTCCTCCCAGTAACTCAAAGTCTATTTCATCCCGCTTGTCTTTCTCTGAGATCAGCTACAGCCGCAAAACGTAAAGAGACAAGTCGCACGCACGCACGCACGCACGAACAGTAACGAAACTCTGGCAGAAAAACGATGAATGAAAGAATAAATCTGGTGATGTGTGTGTGTGAAGCATAGGAGGGAAAAAGTACATAAAAGGTGGTGATGACTCGGTGGAATCATTCTGGGGCATCTTAATCTTCATGCTGAACCATCCGGATCCAAAGGTTTGCAACGACTTAAACCCTGCAGAAGCTGTACGTGTATCACCAAAGAGAACGGTGAGAAAGAATTGATATTATGACAAACATGGAAATTAACAGCTATTTAATCAATAATTAGAGTGCGCGTAAGGAAGGAGAACAATAAACCTGTGTACTGGTCCAGACTGAGCTGGACTTTTGTGTTGTTGTCGAGGACTTGGACATGGGCTGTTCCCCATGGAAGACCATAATTCTGCCAGAAGGGAACATTGTCATCTTGGGCAGCGACAACCTTAACAACGTCGTTCGCACGCAAGGAGGAAGCAGCGAGAACGGACAGAAAAATAATGAAACACGGATTACAATCCGTGAAGGTAATACGTACTACGGTAGCAGAATGTATGAAGTGAATTAAGCAAAAGGCGATGGAGAACAATGTTTGGTGTTGTGGGATGAGGTTTAGGGCAGCTCATGATGGTCAAATACATAGGAGAGCTCGACTGTGCAAGAGGCCAATCAGTTATAGGCTATAGCTTGATCCAAAAGTAATTATCATATATGTCATGCGCCGTCCAAATCTGCTCTTTCCTTAATCACAAGATCATATCGATCCTTCTGCATATACAAAAACTGATCGCTGTATGTTTACATAGAACACATACTAGTGTGTGTGTTTTCCATACTTTCTTGCGCGAAAAGAATATGAAACAATCACAACAACTAATTCTACTTCATGTCTTGTGCCTTGATTCATCAATCTGAGGAAAAAGCATGTTTGAGGGCTAAGGATTTGTCTTAAAAAGTTTGTGTTGAGGGATTTTAAAAACTATAAATATCTCAAAACAGGCTAAGCTATTGCGTGCAATTAAATTTTAGGAAACTTTCTAAAAAATATTACTAAATTTGAAGAGAATTTCATGCCTCCTTCTTTTAAGATATTTGTAAGTGTCCAAATTACTGAAAAAGATAGACCACGCTGAACTGAATCAGATCAAGCCTATATGAAAATATCAAAATCAACTATGAAGGCTTGGTTTGAGGTTTTTTTGGTGCGGGTAAAATTGGTTTGAGTTTTAATATGCTGTTTGATTCAAGTTTTGGTTTTAAGCTTTTGAAACTTAAACCAAATCAGATAGCACCTCACATATTTATAAAAACTTTTGCTGGCCCAAGCCCATTAACTAGTGGTCTAAAATTCAACTAGGCACAACCCACTGCATTTCCCAAGTTTTCCCCCCCAATAATGATGATATTCAGGCTCAAAACTTCAAGATACATGTATTACAAAAATGCTTCGAGTAGCGTATTTCAGCAAGCTGTATTTAGGAGAACTGCACTGCAAGCCCCCATAATCAACATATTTATATTAAAGGCACAATAAAAATCTGAAATAATTCTACAAGTTTAAAGACCTCTTTAACAATTAATTTTTTTGGTAAAAAGATAAAATGGATCTTCTGTTGAAAATAAATGGACCTTGATTGTTGATTATAAACTTTCTGTTGTAAATTTCCTTTCCTTCAATAAGTATAAATCACATAGACTGTGTAAAATAAATGGATATTTTGTCGTAAATAAATAGACTTAAATGTTATTTACGAAATCTCTATTATAAACTTCACCTAGGTAACTTGTGAGTTTTATTTCCTTCAACAAGTGCAGACTATGTGGATTATATGAAATTAATGGGTCTTTTGTTGTTAATGAATGGATTTTGAGTATTATTTATAGAGTTTTTATTGTAAATATCATATAGGTAACTTGTAAATTATGTAAACTATGTGAAATAAATAGATATTTTATTATTATTAAATGAACTTTAAATGTTGTTTGTGGATGTTTTGTTGATTTTATTTTTTTTACCAACAAATTAATTACAAGAGAGGCATTTGAGTCTATAGAATTATTTCAGATTTTATTGGACATTTAATACAAATATATTGTGTTTCAAAATTGGACATTTTATTTCAATCTTTTGTCATTATCGTTGAGTCTAATTATGTTTCAAAATTGCACTCTTCTTCTTTTTGTGTATTTTTGCGGTTTTTTTTTTCCTTGGCTTTTGCTGGCATGTAGACTTTGTATTCCATGTCTATTAATGTTAATTGTGAAGCATCCGATTGAAAAATAAGTAAATCACTATTGATTGAGGTGTCTGTCTTCCCTTTCCCCCCAATTCCTAAGGAGTTTATTTTCTCTCTTTTAGGTGAAGCTTTGCCTTTGGGTTTGAGTCAAATTTTTGTTAAATTGGTTTGAGTGGCTTTTTTAGGATTTTTCTTTACTTAATACCTCATTTGACACCATGAAAGAGTTTTTAATAAAAAAAATGAAGTTAGACGTGGAATTGAAAATAGACTTAAAATTGAAAGTAGATTTAAAAATATATTTGGTAGGGTGATAAAAATGAGATATAATTCATAATTAATATATTTATTTATAATGTGAAAAGTCTTGAATGCCCTTGTCAAAAAAATCCTACCCACCACCTTAAACAGTTACGGCCGCCACCGCCACTGCCTCAACACAAACAACCACCCACCATGCAAATGTGAAAAGGAAGGAATCAAACTAGAAATCGAACAAAAATTGGAGAGGAAATCTTGGATGGATGCTTGTATAGTTGTGCTCTCACAAGGCAGTGCTTTAAGTGGAGAATTGCTGTTGATGAAGAATCACAGTGGTAGTCATTAGAGAATCAACATCGCTAGTAAAGGACGATGAATGATGATAGATGATTTTTAGACTAGGCATTGTTGGTGAAGTATAACGAAGAATCATCATAGACTCATAATAATGGGGAATCATCACCATCATTGGTGAAGGGCTATTGTTACTTGTAGGAACATAGTAAGGGAGGAGAAGACAAGGGTAATCAAGTCCAACAAGGAGATGGAATTGACTTCCACCAAACAAGGCATGAAACCGAATTCTATTAATTTTGATATAATTGAGTTTCATGAAAGATTAAGTTCCATGGCATCAAATGAATAAGAATATTAGTTCCATCTCAATTTCTACTTCCTTCACCCCTATTTTTTGCTATCAAATGAGACATAAGTATTATTATCAAGTGACTGTATTGTAAGAGCAAGCGTTGAGCATTTTTTTAAAAAATATATTTTTGATGATTTTTGTGAGAAATTATTTTATGCTTGCTAATTGCTAATGATTCGAATTTGTTCAGGGAATATTGTCTTTTCTTGAATAAATATCATGTAATTTGCTCTTGTTTATAATGGATGGATTTTTATATGTTTTTTAATTAAATTTAAATGTTATTTTTATAATACAATATTTTTAATGTTTAACATGGAAGATTTCTTAATCCTCATAAATTAATAAATTAATTTTTGGATAAGCATAACTTTTGATTTCTGTAATTTATTTACATTTTGTTTTTGATCTCTATACTTTTTTTCAATATTTTAGATTCCTACACTTTTATTTTTTATTATTTTTGATTTTTCTATGAGCAAAGTATAAATATTTTAAAATAACCCAAAACAATAAAAAATAAAAGTGTAAAGACCTAAAATATTAAAAAAAGTATGGAATCAAAAGCAAAATACGAGTCAAGTATAGGGATAAAAAACTATGTTTATCCTTAATTTTTTTATATCTTTTCACACTGTTAAAACTAATTGACAAATAAATTTATGTAAATTAAAAAATAATTATTATATTTTGTTGCACTTTATTGTGATTTATATATTTTAAGATACTTTTTATTATATTTTTTATTTTCCATCTACACCTTTTTTTTTTTTTAACCGACCTCTACCAAAATCTTTCTAAAATTAATTACAACCCCGATAAAAAGCCATTATTGTGAGTGGCGGACCTAGTTCTCTTCGTCCACGAACGAGCCTTCCACGCTCCGTCGGGCGCCGCCCACCGTTGTCAGCCTTGCGTGCTTGTTCTCGGGCACGCAGTAAAGAAGGTTCGAACCCTAGGACTTTTTCCCCTTCCAAAATCTGGTGAGATTGATTTGTTCAATCTGGCTTTGAATCTAATTTGCTTTTGTTCCCCGCATCATCTGTTCCCTGCGTGGCTGTTCTTGCTTTGTTTAAAATTTTTCATATTATTTGTCTTTGAATCTGGTCATGTAATCGTTGAATATTGACGTTCTTGAATTTGTGAGTATTTACATATTGTTTATCTGTCCTGGTTTTTGCTTGAATGGTGTGTAATTGGCTATCATACTTCCTCCCTCTTCATTGTGATTAGCAGCGACTTGTATGATTTGGATTGTGTTGTCTCGCAATGTTGGATTTGTTGTGTATTGGCATTCTGTCTATTAATCTTTTAATATTATCATCAATTTTGGAAAAATCTTCTTGAACAAAAATTATAAGGTTTTGCGCAGTTCAAACTTGATGTAGTATAGGTCCGCCCATGACTATATGCTTCTTCACTGTTCTCTCCATTGTATGGATTTTTGTCCAACAGCTCATGAGCAGCGCCCTCCCCCCCCCCCCCCCCAAAAAAAAAAAAACAAGAAGAAGAAGAAGAAGTCGAGGCGTTCTTGGTAGATACTAGTTTTGAAACAATTTTTTTTTAAGTAAAAAATTGTAGACATTGCAATGGCTTCGTCATTAATCATTGTTCTGTATTTGGTTAATTTTATGGATCAGGGTTTATCTAATCCTTTGTGAAGAACTTCATCAATGGCGAATCGCACTGATCCAGCAGCGAAAAGTATCAGAGGCACAAATCCTCAGAATTTGGTGGAGAAGATTCTCCGATCAAAGATCTACCAGAACACTTATTGGAAGGAACAATGTTTTGGTTTGACAGCGGAGACCTTGGTGGACAAAGCCATGGAACTCGAATATCTTGGTGGAACTTATGGGGGTAACCGCAAACCCACACCCTTCATGTGCCTTGTCATGAAGATGTTGCAGATTCAACCTGAGAAGGAAATTGTCATCGAGTTTATCAAGAATGAGGATTACAAGTACTTCTACATTTTCATTTTTCTTTGCATGACTTTTCCATCTTTTTTCTCATTGAATGCTTATTGTTGGAGAAGAATGTGTTGTATCTATTCCTGATTATCTGCCGGGCAAATCGTTCTAAATTGATTTGGAGAATGAGTTTGAGCTTATTTAGATCCAGGGTTTCTTTACCTTGAATTGGTAGAGGAAAATTATAAAACTCTGAACTCTTAGGTTAGATAATCTAATGGAAGTGGACCCAGGAAACAACGATAATTTTGAAGAACTGTTTTGAAACAATTACCTTGATGCTTGTGTTGCCGTTGAGAGACCTCTATATTGTGTTCTTAGGCACAAAAATAAATTTACTATTTCAAAACTGCAGAGTACTTCTTGGACTATGTTCCTTTTCTTCTGAAAGAAAAAAGGGAGAGAAAGAAATTTACAATAGCACCGAATCACTGATGTCCTTGTCTTTAAAATAAATCATAGTGTCACATCACATTCTGGTTAACCTCGCTACCTTTTGTCTGTTGATGCATTCTTTTTGGTATTTTTTCATTTTGTTGGTATCTTCAATATGGCTGCAGATATGTGAGAATACTCGGTGCTTTTTACCTGCGCCTTACTGGATCTGATATTGATGTGTATCGATATTTGGAGCCCCTATACAATGACTACCGGAAACTGAGGCGAAAATTACCTGATGGCCGTAAGATTTTAAACTTCATATGAAAATTTCTGCCTTATCAATTCTATGCTAGTTCTGACCCCCCCCCAAAAAAAAAAACATTCCATATCAGCTATAATCAATGTGTTTACAATGTGAGCAAATTCATTGTTCTTGATGCTGCAGAGTTTAGTTTGACACATGTGGATGAGGTTATTGATGAGCTCTTGACAAAAGATTACTCCTGTGATATTGCCTTGCCCCGAATTAAGAAAAGGTTTCTTTTTTTTACTGCTCAAGCATAACTTTCCATCTAGAACTTGCTGTGACACTTCTTTTTGTTCTATTTATACGTTTTGTGTTGCATTTTCATGGTGAAGGCATCCCATTTTTTTTTAGTAACTTTTTGAGGTAGCTGGTAATGTAATTGTTCCTTGTGAAATTTGCTTTTCCATGTGATTATGTATTGCTGAATTTGAAAAACTTGTTTTGGTAAATCTTTGAAAATCTGTTCTTGTCAACCTGAGGCAACTTTTATGTGAAAAGTTTGATGCAATGATATTTTAAGTATTATTTATTTTAATTTCTTGTTATTTAATTTCGGTTGTGATAGGAGCGTTAAATGGAAACCTCTCGGTCCCTATGAGAGAAGCTTTTTCAGTTATGGTCGTTGATGTTATTTATCTTTTTCCATCTCGTCTTTTGTTTTTTTTTTTTTTATAGGTGGACTCTTGAATCTAGTGGTGCCCTAGAACTTCGACGTAGCGCACTTGAAGAAGATTTTGAGGAGGAAGAAGAGAAAGAAGAAAATGAGCAGCCTGTTGATGGGCTAGAAGATGGATCCTATGAGAAGGTGTTTTCCCTTCTCAATAAAAAGCAATTATTTTTCTTTTTTATTTCTTTTTCCCTCTTTTTTCCCCTGTTAAGTCAAATATAGGCAGTTTTAAATTTTGGTGTGGTTAATGAATGCTTAGCAGGATTATTATCGAGGACGAAGCCCCACAAGGGAAAGAGATAGAGATAGAAGACGTGATAGTCATAGGCACAGGTATCTTTTACTCATTGCAAGCATCTGCATGTCATGACACGTTGATTTTGTCAAGGAGACTAAATGGAGTTTTATTTCTTTTTGTTGGCTCTTGGGTTATCCATGAACTAAGTTGCTAGGGTTTGGGTTTAAAGGCCCAATGCAAGCATAATCTGCTTTTTATCACATGATTGCGGGGATATTGACAAACATTTTTTTGATATAAGATGGCTAAAATGTATCGGAAGCTGTTTCTGAACTTGCACAGCATATATCTTGTTTAAAGTCATATTTCAATTTCCACTGTGGCATTCATAGCCATTTGTGGTGCACAACTGCTTCCTAGAGTAAAACTTTGTGATCCTGCCAGGTTTCTCTGCACTGACAGTGTGCAGCGAGAAGTATGATGGATCAGACATTGTTATTGCTGTTTGAATATGGTTCCAATGTGGTCGCATCAACGTGTGAATTAATCAATTGATCTGTTAGGGAATTGCAAATTTCTTGTTTAAAAAGAACTTCACGGTGGTAAGCGACAATTGTTAAATGAGTCATTAAAAATGGTCTAATGATTGCCGCGGGTTAAAGCAATTAGTTGCTAGTCATATTGATTTTTTCCCATTTCATCCAGTCTTTTGCATAAATTACTTTGTTGTTAGTGAAGGTGAATGTTCAATGCTTTGCAAGTCTTTTCCTTCTAAATTGGATTCCTTGATCAGTGCTTTTATTTTTGGGCTACCAGGGATCGAGATTATGAACGAGATTACGATAGGGAGAGAGGGCGAGGGCGTGATAGAGACAGGGATAGAGAGAGGGACAGGGACCGAGACAGAGACAGAGATCGAGATCGATATCGTCTGAGGGAAGAGAAAGAGTATGGAAGAGAAAGAGAGGGGAGGGAGCGAGATAGGAGAGACAGAGATAGGGACCGGGAGAGAGGGAGACGAAGAAGCCACTCAAGGAGCAGAAGTAGGAGCAGAGATCGCAAGGATAGGAAGAGACATGGACGGAGCAGCACGAGTCCAAGCAGCAGAAGGCATGGAGATGGTGGACATGAGGAAGCAGAGCCCAGGAAGAAGAAGGAGAAGAAGGACGATGGGACGGATCACCCTGATCCGGAGATTGCTGAGGCCAACAAGTTACGAGCTGCTCTGGGCTTGAAACCCCTCAGACCCTGACGCAATTTGTTCTTTTATTTCTTGTTTGTCTGATACTACAAAACAATACATGTTGGATCCTCCCTGTACGAGTGGCCGTTGCTGAGTTTTGTATTAGGCTACTCGCGTATAACATTATTGCTGCTGCCTGCTCCTCCTCTGGTTCGTTCGGCATTTCCTTGTGAAATTTTAGATTATAAAATTGGCTTGCTGAAAATAAGTGTGATAAAGTTCAAAATTCATTTGACAAGGACAATGAGATAAAGTTAAAAGACAACTTTAAAATTATACTTCCTTCGTTCTTAAATTATAAAATATTTTTAAATAAAATTTTACATGTGAATAAATTTCATTAAATGTATTTAATAATTTTATTTTTTTCAAAATAAAAATATAAATTTTTAAAAATATTCATCATTAAGAGAATGAATAGAAATTAATTATAAAAAAAATAATATTAGAATTAATATATTTAATAAAATTTTAATCTACCTCAAAATGTCTTGTATTTTAGGGCGGAGAGATTTTTTAAAAGTGCTATATAATTTAAAATGAATGAAGTATAAAATATAAATATAAGTTAAAGATTAAAAATCAAAATAGTAGTTGTATGATAAAATATAAATATAAATTAAAGATTAAAAATCAAAATGATAATTGTATGAAGTACTATCATGTCTTTTGTTGGAAAGACGCATTGAGTGATGAAATAGATTGTGATTTATTTGAAGTTGAAGTTGAAGTTGAAAAATGAAATTTAGCATGAATCAGGGAAAGACATGAATAATTTGGTCCACTTGAGATAATAAGGGACAAAATTTTGGAGGATGGTTCCCTAATATGCTCCGTGTTCCTATTTTTTTTTTTTTTTTCATGACAAGCTCGAGGCTCCTATTAAATGTATAAAAATGACTTGCTATGAATGTACGGACAATAAATAAGGGTGGAACTGAAAATGGTGAAAATAAGTTAATTTGATCACTTGATATGGAAGAACTAGGCAGCGTATTGTAAAGAGGGATCGACGTGAAGCAGAAACAGTAAATAATCGGAACAGAGAATTGCGGAGGACTAGGACGAAAACAAATGGCGATGCGTCAAAGAAGTATGTATATCAGGGATTAATATGCCATCTGAATCGTACTGAAGAGAGCCTGAAGAATACAGCGGCCTGCACCTCCCTCCCATGAGGATCCTCTTCTTGCACAGCCATGCTTCTTCATCATCCTCTTGCCTTTTCCCATCATCCTCAACCTTCTTTTTCAGGCGGCTTGTGGCGCTCATTATTCTCGACACATCCCTTATCAAGCGGCATGATCTTACCTTGCTCCTCAACAGTCCCCAACTGCCGGCAACATCTTTACGGCGGTCTCTAGCAGCTTCACCATCATCACTCTTCTTTCGATCTGCGTGATTGTGCGTATCATGAAGCTCCAGAGCACCGTCGACCTCAAGTTTAATAAGCTGAGATAAGGGACCCACAACTGCCTGGTTCCCACTCACCAAATCGTTTCCTTCTTCAGCCAAGTGCTTCTCTTTCCCATCTTGGTCCTTTTTACCCAGTGATCTCTTGTTTCCAAACACGCTGGACAAGAAGACTGCCACAACTTTCTTCGTAAATCGATCTTCGCGTTTAGCCCTTCTGCTTCTTCTGTGCATGGTTTTGTCCATCAACTTGATCTTTATGCCCAACTTTGACTGCCTGCGCATGACGAAGCTAATGAAGTCAGATGACCAAGAACCTCTCTCTCTCTTTCTCTCTAGGAGTAGAAACACGGCCATGTCCCTTTTTTTTAATTTAATTTATTCATCATTTCAAATTTTTCATTTATCTCTAATCTTTTCCCAACAAAATTCCTTCCCATTATCATATAACTTTTACATTGACACAATTTTTTTAAAAATATTTTATTGCAATATCTCTCTCTTTTTTCAATTATTGCAATATCTCTAAAACTTGCAAAAACTACTTTACCTTATCTCTTATTTTTCTCTCTCATTAAATTAATTCTTTTATTTTATTTTATCTCTAAAATTATCATACATTATCATAACTTCCTAACCTTTTTATTTTAAATTTTATTTTTAAAAATTTTAAAAACCTTCACACATTATTTTATAGGCCATTATCATAGCTTCTTATCCTTTTATTTTAAATTTTAAATTTTAAAAAGCCTTCACGAATTATAAGTTTTCTACCCACGAAAGCACGAGGATGTCAACATGGATCTACGTCTCCCGAAATATTTTCTTACCATCGCTCAACTTTCTCAATCATTATTATAACTTCCTCCTCTCCCGGAGCTTTTTTGTTTTATTTTTAAGCCCCAAGCCACTCTAATGAAATTGATGTCATCAGAGACTTTGGTGGGAGAGAATTGAATGCTTCACGTTTCCTGAGGGCCAAAGTGAAAGGAAAAAGAAACATGCTAAAGGAAGATCAGAGAACATATAATCAAGAGGAATTTACAATTAGATCTGCAGATGGCCACTTCTGCGGTGATGTATATATCTCAGTAATTAGGCTAAGAATTGGCACATTTGCTATTTTATTGTTTCTTTCTTAAAGCACACAATGAACCAAGTGATTGTTACTTGCGTTGAAAACTGAAGCAGATTATTGTGTCACTGTGAGTTATAAACTTCAACTATGGAGTTGAGAAGTGGGAACTCATGGTGGAAACGTGGGAGTGAATATTGCCTTATTTCAAGGGATTTACTCGGTGCATTCTTTAAAAATGCTCAGGTAATGGAGCCCCACCACTTAAGATAAGTAAGTTTATCTTTTTTATTTCATCTCCATCTATCTGTGTTAACTCCTCTGGCAAAATTGGCATTAGGATCTTCATGCACTTAGAAATTGGTGTATTATTTCACCTACGAAAAATTTGACAGTGGGACATAGCCCCACTCTTTCGGAAACATGAAGATAGGTCCATTAATAATTCTTTTTTTAAAAATACAAATATATGATGGATCGGATTCTAGATGTTGTGTTTATTCAACATCCGAGTTATAACGAGTCCGCTACAACTTATTTACACGTACGCAGGAACATTGTAAAGTCCGCCTGCTTGCTTCGGTAATATCTCCTAACAAACTGATGTGGCAACTAACCTGACTAACTAAGATAACTCGGCTCAGCTAATTACATAATCAACGTCTTAATCTTGATAATATACTAGCATTAATCAATTAAAAATAATCAAACGCCTTTTATCCAACATTAATTACTCAATTATGCAGTCAATACATCACAATTAATCTCAGAAAAAAACTTACACACTTAACTTCATGCATTTATGATGCTTATTTTCAATTAAATTAAGACAGGTAAACTCTTTATATATTATTTACATTAAATATATAATATTGAGTATGTAAATGGCTAAATCCTGCCCCTAATTTTATTCTCCGTGATTCAAATAACTATACTAGTGAATTTAATTTGTGGGTGAGGCTTTAAGGATTTGCAACTTTACTCATATAGGAAGCAGAAGATGGTGAAAGAGGATTGCAGTTTTTTTGGTTATTTCGCTTTGCTGCTGGCTCTAGGTCTGTTTGTACCTATCGAGTTTCTTTAATGGACTTCCAGTTTCATTATTAAAAAAAAAAAAAAAACCTTTAAAGTCGTGATCTTCTTCGCCCACCACAATATTTACTGTTTATTATAGTTTTTAGTATTCTTTAGTAACTCGCGTTGAGTATGAGACAGTCAATTTTAGCTCTACATCTTTTGTCGCACGTGGGCTACAGAGCATCTCATGACCTGAATCGTGGAATGCCAAAATACAATCATAGAAGTGCAACGATAGAACAGTTGCAGAGATGGGAACTTACGGTGTACTTCAATATAAAATGTCGACGACCCATGTACCGTCGAGGAACATATCGCGATACTGTCTTTAATTTAAATTTACTTACAGATTCAAGCCGTTAGCAAACACACCATTAGAGAACTATCTACTAGACCACGTTTGTTGTCAGTCGGTCCAACAGCCGAGCACAAGCCAGAATCAAACTTAAAACAACCACCTACACATCTACTAAACCATCTCAACCTCACTTCTTCCACCTCACATCTGACTTTCAACCACCAACAAAAAAGCAAAACCAAACATGCTCACACTGCCAGGGAAAAATTATACTAATATTTACTATGTTACTAAAATATTAAGTAATTACTATGCTGTCACTGTGGGTCTGCTAGGCCTTTTTCCTTCCATGGCATCTTTCTTCCTGCGACAGTTAGCACAGAGGAATGGACCTTCCCATGGTTTTGATGCTGGCGAGAAAAAAGGCCCAGAGTTCACTGATAAACCATCAACCGGGGGTTGATCCACCTGGCAGACTGCACAACGGAAAATCCCAGAGTTCGCATTCAAAGGAAAATCCTTGCCAAGCCTGCATTTCCAGCAAGAAACTTGAAGAATCAAGATTTAAAACTCAATCCCATCCAAATGGTATGCAGAAAGACAGAACCATTTCCATCCTACCACTTGTCACAGAAAACACACAGAAGCAGGCATTTCACAACTAAATGTAGGTTACAGATTTAAATGCAGCAGTTATGGGCAGGACAAAACATCAGCTAAAGTGAAATGTCGAACATACCTTTCTGCAAGCATTGCAGAACCCTCTTCAAATAACTCCTCCACAACTCCCACAGCAGATAGCTTATTAGTAGCTTTGTTTGCGGAGTTCTGAGATTTCTTTCCAAAGAGAAGTGAAGTTATCATATTATGTTTCTTTTTTGGAATTGGTGGTAATACAGGATGGTCTGAAGGAATAATGTCTACAACAAGGCAAGTTGTATCATCCTTCAGTCCCCTTGACCTTAAAGCCTCCTGGAGAAAGGAAGAACGGCAAAGCATTAATGCAAGAACATAATTGGACACCTCCCAAAATGATAGAAAGACTGCTCCTAGTGGACATCACCTTAACTACCAGCTTTGCAGCAAGCTCTGCAGGTAGACCCCGACAAGAATTGGCAGCCATATCAGAAGATAAAGCATCCCAAATGCCATCAGAAGCTATGATAAGCCTTCCACCAGCATTTGAAAGCTGAGTAACCGACAAAATGATTGAAAGAATTGAAATTTAGAACTCAGTACTTTTACACAAAAAAAGTCAACAGATTATACTGCAAGAATGAAACCACTTCACCTTCACTTGCTTAACATGAGGAATTGGCACAATAAATTCTCCCACATCTGTGTCACCAATAGATCTAGACAGACATAATCCACCAGGCCAGCAGCGAAGGGGTCCTACCTGCATGCATATTTAGGAATTAAAACAATGAGATCAAGTAAACCCAGGTTAGAACGGCTAAAGTAGAATATGCCAGACCTCATTGCCTCCAAATACATTGAGTCTCCCCACTTCACCACCACTAGCAGTAACACGTTCCCTCTCTTCTGCATTCTCTTCCAGTCTGTGATCAACTGTCAGAAGAGATACTACACCTCCCTGGGTATCTAATATACATCGGGAATCCCCAACAGATGCAACGGTGACAGTCCAACCGTCCACCAGAACAAATGTAGCTGTAGTCCCAGAAGTTTCACCTATAAATGAGATTAGGTTGTCAAGATAAGCATACATTAATAGTCTGAGGATGCACACAATGAAATATAATTAAAGGACATTCCTTTGTACCTTTTTGCTGAAATTCTATGTCAGTTTTCACAAACCCAACAACTAGAGCCCGAGGAAGAGCTTGAAGCCATTCATCCCTGCTGATATCTTGTGGTATTGCACTCATAACATTACCAAGTAAATTTTCCTTTGCAAAAATTGCAGCTGATATACCATTATGCCCGTCAAAGATCTGCCAAATGAGAGCTACCAGTAAGTATCACAAACAAATGCAGAGAGAAAGTGATGTTCCACCTGATCACAGAGAAGAAATGATACATTGTTGCCAGTCAACGTTTATAATTATACAAGTACACCAAGATCAAATAATACCGCAAAAACAGAAAACAGTGTTGATGAATCCCCAGGAATCCTCTGGCAGTCTGTCTTGATTAAAAAGTAATCCTCCCCTTTCTTTGCCAAGCCAGCCTGTCCATGCTTCACGAAAGGTTTTTCAACTTTCTCATTTCGAAGCTCGCGGCCAATCAGAGTTGCCAAAGGAACAAGTGGCGCCTTTGTCCTAGGTAATTCAGTCTTGCTCATCTTGGTCTAAAATTCAACATTTCCGGACACCCACTGAAGAAAACCTAATAATCAAAAGGAATATCACAAAATAAACAATTAATGGGGATATCTCTGCCACTAGATATAAATGCTTCCGGGCCTTTTTCTTGGGAAAGGGCTTGCACTATTAGTGCTATCAGGAAAGAAAGTGGCGAAATCCAACTTATAAAACGACCTCTCTATACCATTAGAGATTATTTACTTTTAAGAATAAGATTCATTAATTTGAGCTGCCCATATTGGGGAATGCTATATTCGGGACATAAATCTAAAACCATAGAACACTGGTGATGTACATTACAATAAAAAAAAGCCAAAACCAATCTCCCCCTACAAAATCAGCCAAAATTTCTTTGTTTAAGTCAATTTTATTGGGGAAAAGTGAAATATCAGAAAAATTCAGTGCCGGATGGTTCAGCGAGAGCAGTTATTTTCAAACCAAAGCCTTAACAAATATCACAAGCTCGCATCCAACTTGTAATTCACAAGAATCAAACTTGAACAACTATCAGAATGCTCGGATAATATTCCATCTTGCGACATGGATATCCACAAACCAAGGAAACTGCATTTTAAAAGGGAAATGGATAGTAAATACATCGAGGGGTCCTACATGATTGGTCGAATTTGAGCTGCATTTTATAATTTTCTTAAGACAAAAATCACTAACTATGAAAGTTCAGATGACATTAATAACGGTAAGGGAAAAGGAAAAAACTGAACTCACAGGTGAAAAATGCAGTAGATCGAGGAGGACGATTCAACATTGCTTATTGGCCATACCATACATGTTAATCCTCCAATTCTAGAGCCACTGGAGAAAGCATTTCCAAGAGCTAAGCTTAGATCAAATGCCCATAAACCCTAGTAGCACAAAATAGAGAGGGAGCAAGCGAGCTTGCCTGTGACTTGATTGGAAGAGAAATCCAGAGAGAGAGAGAGAGAGAGAGAGAGAGAAACGCGGAATCACAATAGCTCGGGCAAGGGTTACTGTAATGACATTTTTGCCCTGGTCCTCGTTGTGATAGACGGAATCACAATACCCTTGTTTTAAATTACATAAATACCCTCTTACTCTTACATTGGCTCTGAGTTTCGATGAATACCTGGTGGTATTTTTCTTTTTGAGTAAAATATTTACTTTTCCTTTTCAATTTATAAATTATTTTTAATAGTAGTTTAATGTTAAAAAAATATATTTTAATAAATATAAAATTTTTTAATTTTATTTATTTAAATATTATCTCTTATTATTTCACTCTTTAAATAAAATATTTTCCTTTCTTTTTTATTAATAAATAATATTTATGGAAGTTTATAAAAAAATTATAAATTGTAGTATTTGATAAATTTAGTAGGTGTAATTTTATAAAAAAAATATTTCATGAATTGAGATGACAGAATATTGTATTATAAGTTGACCCTTTCAGGTTTTATTTTGTGAAAATAAATTCAAAACAGAAATATATTTAAAAGAAATGAAAAACAGATTTGACTTCATTGATGATGACGTATTTCTGATCAAAAAATGATGTCATATACTCTTTGATTTAAGAGGTGTATTTAATTTTATTTATAAATATAATATAATTTAAATAATATTTAAAATATTTTTAAAATTATTTTTTATGAAAAAAAGTAATATGATATTATTTTTTAAATTTATTATATAAAAATATATTTAAAATTTTATATATTTTTTTTTTATATTTTTTTATATTAATATGAATAAAATTGATAAAAATAATTTATAAAAAATATTCTATCAATAGGGATTAATTTGAAGATTGAAAGGGCTGGAGGCGCGAGGAGGCTGAGGCTCAAGGGTTGGAGAGAAAAAAATGGGAAGAGAGAGCCGGACTCAACACGGTTTTAAATCAGAATCAGATGCAAAATGTCAAAAGTGTTGTCAACTTCTAACTGCTATCGTTCCCATCTGCCGTGCGATGATTGCGCCTCCTCCTCTACCGGGGTTGGGTTTGGTTGTTCGTCGCCCATTATCTGTTTTTATATTTGCTGTATCAGATCGTCACATGGCTTGGCATTTACGATTAAATATTGTAGAGGAGGGAAAATAATCAATAATACTCTCTCTGACTGATGATTCCGCTAAAGAATGGAATCCTGGATGAGGAGGAGCAGGTCCCCCTCCATAATCATAAGATGAAGAAAACCTAAGAGAGTGCCTGACGCGGCCACTTTGGGGGCTGGATGGAAAGCCACTGCCCCATCTTCTTCATTCTCTGCTGGGCCCACTACTATTTCTTCATTCTTACACTATTCCTTCTGATTACATTGCCCATTTTTTAAAAATTTGTTTTATTACCACCATTCATCTAGATTATTCTAAACCCTAGTATGTTGTAAGGTTGAACTATTTTTACTAATAGCAATCTCACAAGTATTTCAAAAAATAAATCACATTGTCAACATGTTATGAGGAATATGCTATCATCTATTTTCCTTATAAATTATTTTTAACTATATCACGCATTAAGAAAATTAGTTAAAATAATCTTATTTTTTTTTAATTTCTTAGAAAATTGCAACTCCGTTCTAAGGTTTCCATTACATAATTCATTTAATTCTAACCTAGTACTTTTTAGGAGAGAAAATCATCAGATTGCCTTCCAATACACAACATATTCACATTGTTAAATGCATGTTTCCTTGGGTCTCTCGTGATATTGAAAGAGACGTGTGCATCATTCTCCTACTCTTTCTTTCCGTTTTTTTTTTTTTTTCACTTTTAACTATCTGCTTTAATTATTATTCTCCAATTCTCGGGTGTAAGGCGCTCCCCCGATGTTTTCCGTCCCTTGTGCTAGTCCTTGCATCATCAATTCACCTTTGGCCTGGCAATTTCATCTCGTATGTCCTCTGAGTTCTACCACACACTCTTCTACCTTGAACTGAATTCCATTCCCATCCTTGGAATAAATGACGACTTAGAGCATCGGAGATCAAATTTGTAGCTCAGTGTCAGGGTGCGCTGATTTTAATTTTCTTTCACTGGAAACATCGCTTCCATTTTGGAATATGAAAGAACATCAAAGAATGCTACGTCACTCAAATCCTGTAAAACATTACAGAACTCGACTTCTTTTGTCTGTAACATGGAAATGGAATCCTGTAAACATGGCCGTTTTCTTTTGTTTATAAAATCGTATAAATTTACAGAGTTTGGTGGCCCACAAAAAGGACCGTGAAAATCATAAAAAGCAAATTAGATACAACTTTATCTTCTTCCAACCTCTTTCCCATGCCCCTAATTCGAAGTGCAAGAAGATGTACTGCTAGGCCTAGTTTTAAAAAAAAAAATGGCAAAAGGGAGGAATTTTTCTCTCTTTCCTTTCTTTGTTTTTTTTTTTTCTGGGTTCAAAGAAAGGCCACAAAAATTCAGCCACTATAAACACGTTGACTTGAACAGGGTGTAAAATCATGCATCTCATGATCACCATCGCAGAAGCCGAGCAAGTGGTTTATTCCTCCTCCAAAGCTCCAACGTAAATGGAAAAACCGCTCTCTTTCTCTCTCACGCACACGACACTTATTTTACACCTAAACGATATAAATAAATTAAAATTACAAAGGCAAAAAAAGCAAGAAATAATGAAATCTTACATGAGGAAGCTTAAATAGCTACCTCACTTTGCATTCCCAGTTCTTTTTCCATCGATAGGACTTGCCTGCTTTCTGGGTTGACTCACCAATTGTTTCCTTGACGGCGCAGGGATCAAGGACGGAATCATGCTCCTGTTTGCAATCACAGTTATAGGAAGGGGTTAACTAAAGTTTATCTATTATAGAAGAGTAGAAGCAACATAAAATATAGTTTATAACAGATTTGATCTGTGATTAGGAAGAGGGATTTATTACCTGGTTTCTACGTTCTTTACCAGTTTGTGATGGGTGGGTTTCTTAGCTTTTGAAACTATTCCATTGATTTTGCTGGTTGGTTTTGGCACATGTGGTTGCCAATGCAAGTCTGATTCTGAGGAATCGCTAGTTGCAACCTCGAGCGGATCATCAGAGTCATCTGTGGTGGCCATGTCATAGTCTTGGCTATCCTTTTTATTCAATGTAACTTTAAAGGAATGTTCCGAGTATACTTTTGCAGTGTCTGAAAGAGAGCTGGGACTCAACAAGGGAGAAGACTGTTTGCTTTCTGCTTCCCACTGACCCACTAGGCTATCATCACTTGTTAGGCTGTCATTCCTGTTCACCATGATCTTATCAACCCAGTCCCTGGAAACCGATTCCTTATCCTCTTCCTTCATGTTCAGCCTCTGACTGCTCGCAGGTGGCCAGGGAGGTGAATGCATTATCATGTCTTGGAGATCTAAGCTTCGTCTTTTCAGCTTCGTTGTGGCCCTCTTCTGGCTCTACATTTCATTGTTCATATATATACAAGTAAGCTTCACTTTTAAGAATGATTATAATATAATTTGGACATGTCTGATCAGCTCATTCTTCAACATGTCATACTTTTGAGGTGTCTAGTGATGATGATTTCCAAATTTTAGATGTGCAAGTTAAGAGTTAAAGAAAATGAAGAGGACTAATTTGATTTCAAAGTTACAATTCCACAGTACCTCCACGCTACCAGAATCATCTTGGGGTTTCCTATGACCTCCAGATTGTGTAGGAGAAGATTTGTAAGATTTCAATTTTGGTGCATCTTGACTACTATTTCCAGAATGTTGAAGTGGTTCCTCTTCTCCCTCCCTTCTTGCCAAAGCTGCCTTCAAATTAGCAATCTGGCAAAGATGACAGTAATGACACTTACACTACAAATACATGAGTATATTATTCTTCCAGATACAGTATAGAACGCATTTCTTAGCGTTATATGACATGAAAATTGCAAGAACCTGTTCTTTAAGCTCTTTCACTTCTGAACTCTCTTTGTTAGCTCGGGCAGCACCAAGTTCAACTGTGGAGACGCGTTCTGCAAACTTGAGTGTGCTGAGTGTTTCTCCAAGAGCGTCAGGTTCTGGGCTAATATGTACGAACATGAGTGTCTTGGCTTGCCCTCCTGAGATGTACAGAATTTAGATCATTAATCATAGTCATAGACAATACTACCATATTAACCACAGAAAAATGCTCGCCGTTAGAAGAAATCATACCAAGAGAATCTTGAAGCAGTTGAGTAAGTCTACTGTTCCTGTAAGGAACATGCGCTTGCTTATTGGCCAGCGAAGAAATGACATCTCCTAAGGCAGCAAGTGACTTGTTGATATGTTGAGCCTCCTTAAGCCTATCACCTGTGACTTCAGATTTATCGACCCTCTCACTTCCTGCCAAGTCAACTAGATGCATGCTGCCACGAAGATGGCTTCCTGACGTCAGGTCCCTTCCTTGAACATGGACTGTCAGGCAACTGCGATTATCATTTACCATTTGAAGTTAGTACGGAAAAAAATATTACTTGTACTTCCAAGTTAGACTCAGAGTGTACCTATGAGAACGACTACTACGATCATTCATAGCAGTAGCACTAACTGCCCGATTCTTATGTCCCAAGTCCATCAAACTCAAGACATCGGAAGTCGATGAAACAGGAACGAGGGTTGCATCTGGTACGTTAATGCCATTTTGAGAACTGTTGCGAATTTCTAACGTACGTAGTTATTAAGGACAAACAGTAGAGGAATAAGAATATCATCTTAAAAATTACTCCAATATATATTTCCTTCCGCAGTTAAAAAAATAAGTTCGTAAAGAGAAGGATATTTTTTGTTGCCACCATCAGTCGCTAGAAGATCTCTGACTTGGTCATTGTAGATCTCAAGCATCTGAACTCCGATGTCATAGGCAATAGTGTCTTTCCTCTGCTGTGACAGTAAGAAAAGATCTCTTAGTGCCCTATAGTTGACCCCCACGGTTTCCTCAGTAAGATCATTTGGTCCGGACTGCATTAATCAATACATGAACCAACCTAGTTAACACAGTTCTCACAATTGATGGGAATTAAAATTGTGGTGGGGTTGTCAGAATGTCTCACCATAGTGTGAGTTTTTCCTGAGCCTGTTTGGCCATAAGCAAATATGCAGACATTGTAGCCATCCAAAACAGAACGAATGAGAGGCTGCATGTCCGCAAAAACCTCAGCTGCAGGGGAAAAGAAGAGTGATAGAGAAATCATACCAAGTGGCAAATGATTGTGATGAGAAGTTAGAAGAAGACCAACCTTGGGTTGCTGTAGGACCAAACACCCTGTTGAAATTAAACGTTTTTCTCCCTTCCTTTCCGTACTTTGAAGGTATTATCATTGAGATACTTCCTTCCTCTATGCCACCAACAGAGCCAGCATTGTTTGCTTGCCCAAAGAAGGGTCGGACTCGGCAGTATACTCTAATATTTCCTGGTTAAACAATAAAATAAAATAAAGTGATTTCATTGAGAATCTGAACAACAAATATAAAATTATGACTAGGAGACTGAACCACTTGAATTTAACCTTTCAGGTCCTGCAGTTGGTTGTATAACTTGCGATTTTCTTCAAGTACTCTCCGATACCCTGAAGCTGCAGAAGCTAGGCTATGCACATGCTTACCTGTTAAGGGTAACTAGTAATTAGATAAGATATTGTTGTTGAATATCAACAAGGGATTTTAACAATACATACTCAAAAAGATTAGGTCCTGCTGGCATGCCTTTTGTAAAGAGTGCATTCCTGATTTCGTATGATGGGCGATAATTTTCAATTCCTAGAGAATGTCGACATCAGAATTTTAAAGTCTTTTGCCTCACTGTGATTTAAACAGTATTTACACTAAATTTTAGTATGTCACTGTTGCAAGTTACCTGGATCTCTTTGTGTTGTTGTACGAGCAACTTTTGTTGGTTCTTCGAAACGTGGATTCTCGATACTTCACCGCTACAGTGGATTTCTAGGTGTTGTTGAGAAACCAAATTTTGCTGCTCGTTCAATACTTGGAGTCTTGATTCTTCATTGTCGCAGTGCTCTTCATCGTAACACTCCTCTTGTTTAGGCTGCACATCTTCCTTTTCTTCCATCTTGATAATGTATTAGAGAAAAAGGTCACGCTGTTGAGATCTTGCCAATGCGTCTTAAACGAAAAATACTCAAAACATGCATTTGAATGTTTCTATATTGAGTTATAACTTTACCTGCTCGTCCTCAGAAGCAATTTTTAAAATTGAGTTGAGTGTTTCAGATTCCGCAGCCCTATCTTCTGGATTTGTTTTCGACTACCAGATTTTTGAAAATTTGATAAAAAAAACTCAATCAAGCGTTGCTGTAAATCTCTATAGATAAAGAAGAAATATGCAAAATTTCTTTCAGAAGTATCACTATGCATGAAGCTGAACAAAATTAAAAAGAAATAGATGCCAACCATTTCATGTTGTATTAAGAGGCGACGTTCAAACTCCTCTGTAACTTTGCGAAGCAGGGACTCCACTACCTGAAAAGGAGATAAGAAATAGATAAATACATAGATTCGATCAAGCATGAATAGAGAAAAAGTGCAGTGCAATGGCTGGGGCTGCATAAATAGTACGAATTACTGGGGTACTTGGCGCAACAAATGGACTAAATCCTTACGCTGTGTCAGAATCTAATGTAGACGATGATAATAATGTCAGTGCAGATTTAGAAGAGAAAATACTTACGTTGATAATCTCTTCATGCTTCTTGTCAGACAAATATTCCCGAAGTAGTGCATTCAAGTTATGAACTGAACCCTACGATTCCAGCGATGTCATGTTAGATATTGGTTACATGTTCCCATGCGAAAAGAAAAAGGTAAAAAGGTATAAAGGACAAAACTCTCTAACCCCTTCGTTGCGGTCCTGCCCTAGATCACTGCTTGTAGATCGATCACTCGTCAATCCATCTTTCTCACTTGTGGTCCTTGTTAAAGTAGGGAGGAATTGTTCCGAGTTTTTGCGCAAAAAGGGTCTTCTAGAAACGAGTGGCTTTATGTTCCCACCATGTTTCCATGACCCTATTTTCCCTCCCTCTTTCCATTCACTATATGCCTTGATTGCCAAAACACAATCCACTAGCCTAGCTGATTTCCCTCCCTGCAGCCACATCAGAACTGTTATTGATGTCATTCAAAGTAGCAAGACAACTCTTTTAGCTTATGCTAATAAGCACCTGCTCCAAATCAGAAGCTTGAAAGGTAGGAAGGCCCATTTCTTGCAAAGCTACCAGGCAGTTCCTCACATTTTCAAAGTATTGAAATGCAGATAGTGCTGCGGCTCCATCATCGGAATCGCAGGGACCTTCAACTACCTAACCATATAATGCAATCAGTGTCACCGAAAAGAAAATAACATATTACTCATAAAAAAATTCGACTGAATTATACCTTGGGCACCACGCCAGGTTGAATTCTGTTAAGAACGTTGCAAAGGATTATGCCACTACGCAAACCATTCCTGAATTCTTCTTCAGAAGGCTCTGCTGGAAACTCTTTCCCTCCAATTACTCCATATTCCTTCCGCAACCACCCAGCAGCTTCATACCTTCTTAAGCCTGCAAAGTAACAAATACCATCTTATATCAGAGTAACAAGACCTTTTCAAATTAGTAGTTTCTTTTTTTCTTTTTGTCAACAATGATGACCCTAGAACCTAGAAACCATGTACCCATTCTACAACTGCATGTCTCGGAACTCATACGAAGAACATTCATGCTTGTTTCCTCAGTACCCTCGACGTTTGAAAGCGGAGTTTTAACAAACAAGTTTTGAGTGATTCTAATTTCAATTGAAACCCAAATACTTGGCAAAGCAGAACAATACCTTTTTATGATATTAAAGGAAAATGTAATCAAGAGGAATTCAAAAATCTTATATAGCTAATAAATTTGAATTAATAAAACGATATTTCCTTGCTAAGATCAAGTGCTGAAGTTGAATGTCAAGTTAAAGAACGGGAGAAATGAAGATTAACGGACAGAAAGCCAAAATAATCAGAATATAAAAAAAATGAAAGATAGATGACGAATTGAAGAGATTACGTACAAGATGGTTCAAGTTTCCTTGACGCCGAGTTGGTATCGCCCAATTGGGTCCCATTCTGTTGAAGAACATCTTCAACGACAGATAACACTGAGAATGGCAATACCTGTTCTGTCGCCATTACTCCCCCCCAAGTAGTCAGGAATTCAAACTACCAGGAGACTCAGAATCTGATACGCCAGCCGATAGGCTCCAACGAAAAGTTTCATACATAAAAAAAAAAATGAAGCGGAAGTGGTGATTGAAAATGAAAAATCTCAGCAAGATTGTCAGGGAAAGAAGAAAATGAATACAGAAAAGTGGGAATATGAGAAGAGGCTTGACGTGGAGCTACCTAAAAAAAAAAAAAAGAACAAGAACGAGAAGAAAACGAGAAGGAATTGAAGAAAGCGACGAGAAAGAGAATGGAGGTTTGAATATTGGGACCCTTTCCCTCACTTTCTGCGTGTTTTCTGAGTTTTCTCCCTCAAGTTGTGTTTCTAATATTGACGCAGAAAAGCTGCACCGAACCTACTTCCGAGCCTCTCGCTCGGTGGCTTGCGTCTTATTTATTCAACGGCCGAGAAAATCCTATATTCCGAAATTTATTATCTCTTTTTTAATGCAGGTGATGCTGAGGGTTCTCTTATGATATCCTAGCCCTGTTGATCAATGCAAATATAAATATTAAATGAAAAGTGAAAGGATAAAAATTAATAAGAAAAATAATTATTGTTGATCAAGGTGACCAAGAATAAATCTTTGTCAGCCCCGATGATACTTTATCAAAATTGAGAAAAATATCAACACAAGAAAACACGCACGTGTATTACTCTGTTTGTTAATGAACTTAGCTTCTGTAATAAACCAGATCTTTTTTCCATTACTTTAAATTTAGAAGCTAAAATCTACGTCTCACTAAAAATGGAAAACAAAAATCTGGTTTTTGCCGTGATTCATCTATGCTTCCCCTTATCAACCAAAAAATCTATAATTCCTCTCATAATCTCATTTGTTGAGACCAGGAAAACATTTTCTAATTGTGCCCACTCTCTCCCTCTTGGACTTCAAGCAAGCCAAGATTTAACCATAAGAGAACCGAGATTAAAAAACATGTATATTACACAGTTTTTATAGATTTTGAAAGCTGAAAATATATAGTATTAAGAAAAATTTAGAAATTCGGTGCACCCCACCGCTAGTGGAAAAGTTGCATAGAATAACATTTATTTAATCTTTTAAAGAATATTTATTTAATAGATTAATATTTTTAAACATTTGCCTCTAATCCGAGTATAGAATAATAGACTAAATTTCCAGTGACAAAAGAATATTTATTTATGAACTTTTATTACATCCACGTGAATATTCGAATTGTTAAAACTATATGTTAACTAGTTAATATGTTTGCCGGCAAACTTTGAAGTTTTATAGCCTAACGTTATTAGCTTTTTTCATAAAAGGATGCAACGAATTGATATGCTTTATGATGTGCCCTGCAGCAGGTCAATGATATGTGCATTTGTGGATTGTTTACTGGATATGAATTTGAAAAGAAGCGGATAGATGTAGTTTAGAGGAGAGGAGATCAGTATGCATGAACGCAAACATTTGGGAGAGGTGATCATCTCCTGCGTTGGTTGATGTCCCACCCAATAATATAAAGAACAAGCATTTCCAGCTCTTTTCTCTTTGAGATTGGTGCTGATCAACATTCTATCATCATTAGCCTTTATGAAATCGAACTTCAATATCAAAATCCAGCCTCGCCGGTTAAAGATCCATCCGTCACTGTCGACAAAGCAACCTTGAGTACCTCCTAGTTTAATTTCCCTCGATTTATGAATCAAAATAATCATAATGATGCATGTAAAAAACCTATATGTACTGTGGCAACGTTATTTTTTGGAGGTTAGCTCCAGTGATAAACTTAAAGTAGATCATTTTATGCAGATTAAGGGTTCAAATCCTCATATTGATGTATCAATTAAAAAAAAACCTATAACCCTATTTGATAGGCAGGAATGGGATTGAAGGATTAAAATTGAGAAAACTCAAGTTTTAATGTTTTCTATGGATTATTGGAAAGTCCAATTCTGGCCTCAATTCCATCTTACATGAGACTACCCAATATCACTCCCATAATATTGGAAAATTAATCTTAAGACCAAAATTATTTAAACAAAATTACCCTCACTCATCTCTCTCTCTCTCTCACACTCTCTCACACATCCATTTTATTCCATTTCTCGATCGTGTCGTGCCATCTTCCTCCCTTCTCCCTCTTCTTCGTGTTCCTTCATTTAGTTTTCACCATGAAAGCATCGTCATTGGTTCAACTTTAAGTTCCCATCAACGGTGATTTGGTATTAGCCATTGGATCTCACAAATGCTTTTGGCCACTAGATCTGAAAACAACTATCATCTCCCTCTCTCCAACTTTAGATTGGCATCACAACGTCCTTGGATGAGCAGGATTAAATTGATTTAGTGTCCTCCTCCTTTTCTCTCAATGAGCAAGATTCGACTCAATGTCCTTGGAAGAGTGAGATTTAACCTAACGTCCTTAGAATATCCTATGGCCATATTTGTTGAGAAAGAGAGTTGATGATGATGAAGAAAATGACATTGAAGCTTCGAGAGTCCTAAAGAAGTTTAGAGATGATGCAAGAAGAATGAAAAAAGACAAGAGCACATGTGTCTTTTCACTTATTCTTACTTCATCTAAGTGTTAATTTTTTTTTTAATCTCATGACATGCCAAACATCATATTAAAACTTAATCTCATTTTCGATTCCACTCCTAATCCCATTCTCAACCCATTTTCAATCTTTTAAAATTCAATTTCTCATACCAAAAGGGCATATATGTGGTTGAAAAGAATGACATGAATACATACTTGTTAGTTCGTATAAATGAACTTTTTTTAAGCATTGCAATAGAAACATTTTATATAAAATTTTTAAAAAATAACAAAAAAATATTTTTTTAATATAAATTATTGTGGTATTTTTTTATTAGACTATAGTTGATAATAAAAAATTTATTGAATATTGTTTTCTTAACAAAAAAAAAATAAAAATGCAGTTAGTTTCATTTAAAGGGATCATTTCAAAGAGCTTGTCTCATTGTTAAAGATTTTGTTGATAGTACCGACGGATGGGACATTTCTAAGTGGTTTCCTTGTTTGCCTGCTGATACCATCAATCAGCTTAGAAAAATCAACCCCCCTAAAGCTGCAGGTGAAGATACATATAGCTGGATGGATTCACCGGATGGTAATTTCTCTATCAGCTTCGCTTATGTATTTCTCTAGAGATTGGAAAGTGGTCGAATTGAGTCCAAGTGGGTTAAGTTCTGGAGGTGGCCTATTCCTAAAAAGATTAAAACTTTCTTATGGCAAGTGTCTCGTGAGAGAGTTCCTTCAAATTCTTTAAGAGCCAAGAGAGGATTTAGATTAGACTATCTATATCCCTTTGAATATGGGAGAGAGGAAGATATTATACACATTCTTCATGATTGTGAGAGAGCGAAAACTGTGTGGGATCATTTTTTGAATACTAATATGTTTCAAAGTTTTTTTTTTTGTAATGATTTACGGGTGTGGTTCAAATGGAATTCAACCCATAACCCCTGGTCATGTTATTGGCAATAGTAGCCTTAAGTCAAAATATTCAACACAGTTTGTTGGACTCTTTAAGCAACTCGATGCAAATAGATTTTTGGAGAAAGATCTCTTTCATTAAACGAAACTATCCAAATTGCAAGTGCACATCTCATGGAGGAATCAACAAATGGGAGATTAAAGCACAAGATTTTTCATCATTTGATAAGCTCTTAAGTAGAATGGAGTCCACCACCACATGACTATATTTGAGTTGATTTTGTTGCTTACATATCTAGTGGATAGCAAGCTTCATATGGTGGTATGATTAGTGACTCTAGTAGTATGTGGATATGTGGCTTTCAAAGAGATTTGGGCCCAATAAGTATAACAACCGTAAAATTTTCAATCATAAAAATAAGTCTGAAAATTTGCAAACTCCAAGGCTTCTCGAGAATTAAACTCTTTACTGACTCTCTTAAAGCTATCAATATTCTGATGAGAGAGACAAGTTATGAGAATATAATTAGAGAAAAGCTGGAACAAACTAGAGAACTTATTTTCTCTAATTGAGATATTTTGTCATACTTCAGTTAATGCCTAATTATTGCAGAGAAGACAACTTAAGTGGACCTTGTAGAGGAACTTAAGTTCCCCTTATTAGTTCTTGGCTTTATCTTTTGGTCGTTTCTCTCGGGGTCTCTTGATTTCTTTTTTTTTAGTGTAATTTCTTTTTCTTCAAAGCTTCTTGCTTGCCTTCTGTGCTTAAAAAAAAAAGGGACAAGCCTATGACCATCTTCCTCAACCAGTGCCGTGTTTGAAAGCATGGTTCGGAGTCGAAGCTAGCGGCTCAAGCATGGTTTCAAGTAGGCCCACATAAACCATGCTGGCCTAGACTACTTAAAGCTGCTGGCCCAATTTTTCGTGACTCCATGTTTTTGCTCAGGGTAATTCTTTGACTCCCCCATCCTCACATAACGAAAAAATAAATTCCTCGTATCAGAAAAGTAAATAAATAAATACACTATGACTTCGCTACAACTATTTGAATTTATTTTTAATTATAAAACCATCTTGCAGCTTTCTATTGATCATTGAGAATAAAGGGCCCAAAATAATAAATCAGTAACAAGTATGTTCATATTTCACGAGTCACAATTACTCATTTTCCTTGTCCCATGCGAATTCATAAAGTGCAAAAAAAACATAATAACTCCGTGCTATTTTAAATTACACTACGCTATTTTTTTTTGGGGCCAAAATTAATTACGCTATAAGTCCAGGTCACAATTGATTCTCCGTTTTACGCAGAACTTGAGTAAAGCAGCTTTGTCGTAAATAACGTGGCCTATCACACACAAAATAAAATTATGAGCTTTTAAAAATACTTTACATGCATGGATGAATCTATAAATCATAATATGAGAGGGTCATAATTGAAATTTTATCTACATGTGAGGGCTAACATTAATTTCTACATTTTTCATGAACAAAATTTCACTTAAAAAAAATTAAAGTATGGGGGGCACAACCATTGCTTGCCTTTATAGATGCGTGATTGTCTATATATTTAATATTTACATTTCAATTTTATATCCTTTTGAAGGATGATATTAAAAAAATATCATTAAAAAAATTTTAGTTTTTTTCAAATTATTTTATATTTTAGAATAATGAAATTCTTTTAAAAGTCTTCTTATAATCTGGAATGGAAGGGAATCGTGGCAAGAAGAAAAATGCTCATGATTATACATATTATGTTTATGTATATTAACTTAAGAAGTCAATTTAAAATTTTAGGTAACTGCAAATTTGATTTATTATGTCTTAAGACAGGTCAAGAAA